CTATCTATCTATCTATCTATCTATCTATCTATCTATCTATCTATCTAGGCTTAAATACATGCCAGCTTCCCATTGAAGAGAATTGAGAATGGTAGATGAAAACTGCATTCCTTGTAGAAGAACCAGCAGTCTTTAGGCAGATGCAATCCACAATTGACAATTATATTGACTTGAATTCTCCAAAAAGTAGCCTCCAGAAGTTGTAAATGGTCCAACATCGGTATTTTTTTTTAAAGAAAATAGTGGACAATCATTTATATGAAATAATATAGGGTTTCCTGCCTTAGCAGAGGGTTGGACTGGAAGACCTTTAAGGTCCCTTCCAACTCAACTCTTCTCTTCTCTTCTCTTCTCTTCTCTTCTCTTCTCTTCTCTTCTCTTCTCTTCTCTTCTCTCTTCTTCTCCTCCTTTCCCTTCCCTTCCCTTCCCTTTTCCTTCCCTTCCATTCTATTCCCTTCCATTCTATTCCATTCCATTCTATGCTATTCTGAATAGAATTGAGAGTAGTAAATGAAAAGTTCCTTGTAGAAGCACCAACAGATTTTAAGCAGATTTGATCCACTATTGGTGGCTGCATTGCCTTGAAACATCTCAGAATAAAAATATCAGTCAGAGGAAATGATAGTTTGCTGCTTTCATAGCGTTTGACACAGTAAACATAGAAATATCATGGAAGAAACTGATTGCTCTTAAAATGGAACTCAGAATGCTGATCCTGCTCAAAGCCCTTTCTACAAGCACTGTGAGAAAAATTAATCCGTGGAACAGCTTGTGTTATGAAGCTGTGCATGCTCCATTGCTGGAGGCTTTCAAAAATACCTGTATATTCATTTTGTCTGGAATGGTATATGATCTGCTTTGTGAGCAGAGAGGCGGACTAGAAGACCTCAAAAATCCCTTCTATCTCAATCATTCCATGTTCTTCATTCATTTGTTTGAGAGTGTGTTTAGGGGAACATTTAGTTCCCCGATGTTTTCAGCTTTCAAGATTGGGATGGCAGAGGAGATGGTTCATAGATAGATAGGATACAGCATGTGTGCAATTGCTTTCTCTTTACTCACACACGTGAGGACCCAATTGCAAACCCCTCATGGCCCACTAGTGGGTTGTGGCCCATAGGTTGGAGACCCCTCTTTTACGATGAATGGAGCCATGAGAGGTAGGACTGATCCTTACCAAACAGTAAAAATGTATGCTGCCCATGTGCATTTGAGTTTCATGTATTGTTAAGAAAACTTGGCTCTTATTCTCATAAGAATTATCTGATTACTGATAAGTCAATGTCAAAATGTCAAAATTTCTGGTCTTTGAGAAATGACATATTGCCATATAGGGCTATTTGATGATGAATAGAATAGAATTCTTTTATTGGCCAAGTCTGATTGGACACACAAGGAATTGTCTTGTTGCAAATGCTCTCAGTGTAAATAAAAGAAAAGATACATTCGTCAAGACCCAAGAATCATCAGGTAGAGCACTTAATGATAGTCAAAGGGTACAATAAGCAATCAAATCTTACTAGGAAACAGTCAGTATAAATCATAAGGATACAAGCAACAAAGTTATAGTCATACAGTCACGCATGGGAGGAGATAGGTGATAAGGAGTGATGAGAAGACTAACAGTAATAGTACTGTATATTTTGTAAATAGTTGGACGGTGTTGAGGGAATTATTTGTTTAGTAGAGTGATGGCTTTCAGGAAAAAACTATTATTGTGTCTGGTTGTTCTGGAGTTCAGCTCTCTACAGAGTCATTTTGAGGGAAGGAGTTAAACAGTTTATGTCCAGGATGTGTGGGGTCTGTAAATATTTTCACAGCCCTCTTTTTGACTCGTGCAGTATACAGGTCCTCCATGGAAGGAAGGTTGGTAGTAATTGTTTTTTCTGCAGTCCTAATTATCCTCTGAAGTCTGATGAACTGATAGAGCAAGTTCACACCTTTCCTTACCTGGGTGTATTTCTCTCAGTGACTAGATCTTTTTTCCTTCAACATTAAAAGAGGTCATTTAGACCAAAGGTACAAGTGAACACACTGTTATAAGAATTTTTTAAAAATCCTATCTATGACGCCTCCTTAGCCTGAAATATTAAAGTACAAAAACCGAATATTACCACCATGTACTTATAATGAGCTGACTTTTTGGATTTAATTTATAATGTTGAGGTAATTCCCCGTTAGGGGAATGAGTGCATACAGGGAGACGTATTTGAGAGTAGTGTTTGAATAATACACATACAGCACACAGATACACTCTACAGTAAATGTTCGTTTTTACTTCCAATAAAAGTTTTAAGCAAAGTTTAAAATAAGCAGTCCAAAATCATTCACAGGTAAGATCAGTCAGGTTTTAGTCCAGGGACAATCCAATAACAAAGTCCAGTGTCAAAAACAGTTCAGTATCAGACTTCCATCAAATCCAGGAATATCAACCAATTAGGAAGAATGGCAATATTCTCCAACAGTAGAAAACAGAGATTCACTCACACTCTCTTCTGAGACTTCTGAGACTAAGACTAAACAACCCAGGTTTTTGGCTGTTTGAGAATTACACTATTAGGATTCTCTTAAAGAGGCAGTATTAAAATGTCTATCCTGATTTATATATTTCCATCCCAAATAGCTGTTAGGTTACTTTCATTCCTAACATTCTCCCCTTTTAGGGTAGGGCAATATATACATCCTTACATTCTAAGTCCATAACCTTCACAGCTAGCCTTATGCTTTATAGAGCCTTGGGCCTTTGTTTTCTGCCATACATTATTCTAGCTTAATCATTTTACTTTGCACACATTGTCTCACATTTAAATATCTTAAATCTCTGTGTTTCGTTCTTGTCTTAACAGCAATATTTGAAGCCATCTCTATTGCTGATTGGTTATCTTCATAAGCAACAATAGAATCTGTTACACCATTTCCCATATCAATTAATAATTGCTTATACAAAACTAAATCTGTCCATAATAAAGATAAACATGAGAATTCAGCCTGCATTGTTGACAAACTTAGATGTTTCTGTCTAATAGACCTCCATCCAATCAATGCTTTTTCCAATAATATTACAGTACCCGATGAAGATTTTGATGTATTTATGTCTGTAGCAAAACTTGCATCAGCTTATGCAGTTAAACTCAGTTCATCTTTAGACTCCAAATAAATGCATAGTGCATTGTTCGTTTCAGATATCTAAACACACTTTGACCAGCTTGCAAGTGCCTTTCAATCGGCTCAGCATTAAATCTCACTAATTGATTAACACTGTATGCAATATCTGGCCTTGACCAATTACTGAGATAAGATAAACTACCAATCAAGGACTGATAAATGTTCTTATCAAAAATAGGACTTTGAACATCACTATGGCTAAACTCCTGGCTCATCGGTGTTTTAGCCAGCTTACAAAGTTCCATTTTAAAAATTTTTAGTAATTGGTTAATTTTATCTGCCTGTGAGGTCTTGTATCCTCTCCTAGTTGTATCTATCTTAAAACCAAGATATTGTTTTATTTCTCCTAATTGTTTTATTTTAAATTTCTTTTCTAATAGTGAAATTATTTTAGTAGCTTCTTTTTTAGTTTTGGTGATTAATGCTATGTCATCAGTAAACAATAGCAACAATGAAATCATACCATAACTTTCTCTTTTAAACAAACATGGATCAACCATGCCAGCTACTAAGCCTATTTTAGTTAATTCTTTAACTATACACTGGTTCCACTCATATCCTGATTGCTTTAAGCCATAAAGACTCTTTTTCAGTCTCCAGCAATCAGTTGTATTATCAGTTTTGATACCTAAAGGTTTCTTTAAATATATAGCGTGTTGCAACGGTGCATGCAGATATGCCATCTCTATATCCAAATAATTTACAATGTATTTCTCCTTAGCGTCCCACACTAATGCTGCCCTTAATGTAGTAGCCTTCAAACTAGGTGCAAACACCTCATCGTAGTCATCTGCTGTCTGATTAAACCCTTGTGCTACTAACCTGGCTTTATGGGTAACAGTCCCATCCACACTTGTCTTCAATTTATGAATCCATTTCCATCCTATGGTGGCAACTTAACATTTTTGTATATCTCCAGTTTTTTTTAATGATTTCAGTTCCTTATCCATTGCTTTCTGCCAAGCAGCCTGATCCTTAGCAGGATAGAGTTTTAGTTCACTATAATTACCTGGAACTGTATTCACGTGGCATACAACACTAGCCTGATATCTGTTAGGTGGTCATGTTACTCGGGTTGAACGTCTTGGTAATACAGGGCTTACAGGTGGACTTTCCTGTGGCACCTGCTCCTGTTCTTCTACCTTCTCCTGTGCCTGTTCTACTACTTCCTCCTGTGCTTCCTCTTTAATGGCTATTCATGGTTTACTAATTTTATCTTTAGGGACTATTTGGGTATCAATAATGATATCATTGCTGGATTCCTTTTCCATTATATCCCACCCAACGTGCTTGAGAAATTTTGCACTCGCACTACAATATACATGAGCTGTGCATTGATCCCAAAATCTAAACGATCTATGGTTGGTCTCATAACCAACAAAAAATAATTTCTTAGCTCTATGTTGCCCTTTCAGTCTTATTTGTGAGGGAATATGCGCCCATGCCGGACCTCCATATGTGTGTAGGTAACTTAAATTTGGTTTTCTGCCATGCCAACGAGTGAATGGCAATTCACCAGTTGTATTAACTACATTGTTTAAAACATGATTACTACACATTATGGCTTCACCCCACAGTGTTTCAGGTAAACCTGAGTCAGAGAACATAGTACGAACCATGGCTTGTAATGTTTGCCCTCTTCGTTCTACAAACAAGTTATGTTGTGGTCTGTAAGGCGCATAACATTTATGCTCAACACCAGCCAATTTCAACATAGTTTGGAATCTTTTCTTAACAAACTCAGTCCCATTATCAGTAACTAAAGTCATTACTTTACTTTTCATTTTTCTTTCAGTAAACTTTAGCCAGTTAAAGAAATGTTGGGATGTTTCTGTTTTGTTTTTCACAAGATAGGAGAAACCGTATCGTGAGTAATGGTCCATAATACTCAAACTATAGCAGGCACCTCCTAAACTTGGTTTCTTAGGACCAATTATGTCAGCAAACACAACTCTAAAGGTTCTATGGTCTTAAATCCATTTAGTCTGTTTGCTGGAGTAACCTTACTTTTCTCCTGGCTACAGGCAGCACAGTTTAAGTACTTACTACAGGGTTTCAATTTTACTCCTTCTGACAATTTGACAGTTTGAGCATTTTGAAATTAATGTGCCCTAGACGTCTATGTAGTAAATGTATACATTCATCATGTGGCTTAACATTGTTATAAACTGAGTTAGCCATCTTCAACTAGTCATCATGTATTACATATAAATCATTCTCTAATATAGCAGTATCACTTTTACCCTCTTTCTCTATTGTACAGTTATCTCCCCTAAAGGTTTCCTACATAACCAATATTTACTAAAGCCCTTACTGATTTCCAATTAAATTTCAGTTTAGGTACATATAACATAGTTAAATGTTCATTTATACAAGAACAATATGCAGTACCTTCACCTGATGCTTTAATCTTCCATCCATTTGCCAATAATACATGTTGCTTACTAGTAGACACCTTTACAAACCTCTCTCTATCTTTAGTAATGCACTGCGATGCTCCACTATCAACAACCCACAAATCATGTTTTACACTAGTTGCTAGACATAGGTAAACTAACATTCTTCTTGGCCTTCTGGTGTTTACTAGTATTCTGTTGTTTTCCTTTCTTAAAGAATCTAGCTATATGTCCCCTTGCCCCACAAGAAAAACATTTCCTAACAGTATAGGTAGTTGAAGACAAATCCTCTTCTTGTGATTCTTTCTTTCTCAGTTGGTCCCTATCCAGCTGTCTTCTTGCTTCTTCTAACAATCTTTCAGTTATGTCAGTCAATGTCAGTTTATCTTTGGTCAGGACTTCCAGTGAATATACGTAATCATCATAACTTTCATCCAATGAGGAAAGAATGTTGTCAACTTGATGCAGCTCTGAAAATATCAGTTCTTTTTCATGTAGCTCTTGAAATGTTCTTTTCATGAAGTTCAAATGAGCTAACATATCTCCACCTTTCAGAAGACGTGCTCTAAACAGTTTATGTGTAAGATGTATATGTGCACCTTCACTGTCACAAACATAAATCCTCTTCAAATTCTCCCAACACCTAGCAGCAGATTCTTCTCCATGAATATGGACTAGCTGCTGGTCACTCAGTGTTAGTCCAATTATACAAAGAGCTCATTCGTTGTTCTGTTTAAAGTCAGCAAGTTTCTTGGCATCATCCTTATTATTTGGATCCCAAGCATTTACATCTGGTGGATCTTGAACTACATTCCATAACTCTTCTCTACGCAGAAGTAAACTTCACTTTATAGACCAGGAAACATAGTTTGTTCCATCCAACCGGGTTATCAGTGATAACCTTGTTGAAGTGACTTGTGCCATCTTTACCAGGATAGTAACCCACAATTAAACAGTAAAAAGCTGTCTGTTTACATTACTGTGCATTCACACCAACTCTCTTATCTGACATTGGTATGTTCTGGGCCCATAACCAGTGTTGAGGTAATTCCCCGTTAGGAGAATGAGCGCATACAGGGAGACGTATTTGAGAGTAGTGTTTGAATAATACACACAGATACACTGTAGAGTAAATGTAGGTTTTTACTTCCAATAAAGGTTTTAAGCAAAGTTCAGAATAAGCAGTCCAAAATCATTCATAGGAAAGATCAGTCAGTTTTTGTCCAGGCATAATCCAATAACAAAGTCCAGTGTCAAAAACAGTTCAGTATCAGATTTCCATCAAACCAGAAATATCAATCAATTAGAAGGAATGGCAATATTCTCCAACAGAAGGAAACAGAGAATAACTCACACTCTCTTCTGAGACTAAGACTAAAACAACTCACAGAGTCAGGTAGAGGATTCCAGACATTGACCACTCTGTTGCTGAAGCTGTATTTCCTGCAATCAAATTTGATGTGATTAACCTTGAGTTTGTATCTAGTGTTTGCTCTTGTATTTTTATGGTTGAAGCTGAAGTATTCATTGACAAGTAGGACATTGCAATGTATGATTTTATATAGTATACTTTGATTGTTCCGAAGGCGGCATAGTTCTAGATTACTAGATCTAGAATTTCAAGTCTAGTGGCATAAGGTATTCTGCAATGAGTATAATCTTCCAACTGCTGTCCTGAGAGCTGAATTGGGATTTATTTACAATTTATAAAATTAGGACATGTACTTTTTTTAAATAAAATTAATGATATGGAAACTGTAAGAATCACAAATGCTTAGAACAAACACATTTCAACTAAAACATTCTTGAATGAACAATTGACATAGGTACTGCAATCTCTCTGTCTTTTTACAAATAGAGAAAAAAAACTAAAAAAATGATATGGCCTAATGACTAATCAAGAAGAAACTGTTCTGATATGTGCACGAGAAAAAAGTTGGATTCATTGAAAGCTAAAAATTGGGACTTGGTAGGACCCCAAATATAACACAGCACTCTTTGTTGATTTTTTCAGATCAATGAGAAAACTGCTTCAGAGGCTCTGAGTGATAAAAGTCGATTCCCTTTTTTCCATCCAATGCTCCCCAAAGAAGGGTTTCAGTATCCAGCAATTGTCCAACTGCTCCTCCATTTTGGATGGACTTTGATTGGTCTCTTTGCTCCAGACACAGAGAAGGGAGAAAATTTCATGAGAACTTTTACCCCTATGCTTGTGAGGAATGCAATTTGTGTTGTTATATCACAACAATTCTCAGTGACTGGAAATACAGCAGCCCTCAGGAATGCCCTCTCTATTTGGAAACAAGTCAATGTCTTTGTTCATTTCATAGAAATGGAGTCCATTTTTGACAGAATTCTTCCCTTCCATTTAGCACTTAGGCATTTACCAGAACCTATTCAAGGGAAAGTCTGGATCATGACAATGGTTGGAGGATATTCAATAAAAGAAAACAGGCATTACAAGTACGTCCATAGTATTTGGAGCTTTCCTTCTAAGTGGAAAAAAAGTTGGCAAAAAGATGATGCCTATAAAGGTGTTTTCTTTGTGGAACCTGAATTTCAAGATGAGTATTTTCATTGTGCTATTTCAAAACACGTCTTTTCTGTCAAAGGCCGGAGAAGATGCACCCAGAAAGCTCCAGTGGAGACCGAAGAGAAAAAGAATAGGGAGCAAATCAAAAATGATCGCAGTGTGTACAGTGTCATTAAGATTCTGGCCCACACATTAAATTCTGCATCCAATTCCAAGAGGGGAAGAAAAAAGGGAGAAGAGAGTTTGGGGGTTCAGAGGCTTCATCCATGGCAGGTATGGGGTCCAAACAAGTAAGGGTGGGATCCAACAGGGTTAACTACTGATTTGGTGATTTATGAGATTCAGTGATTTACGAAGTCATTACAACCCAGGAGATTACATCACACAGCCCATTACCCAGGTCGTTAAAACACAGGAGGCTGATAGAAACACAGCTGCACATGTTCTTATGAAAAAGCCAGCCAATCGGCAAACATCAACTCCATAAACCAATCAAGAAATGAAAACACAGCCAACATCCCCACCAGTATATGTAGGGAGACGTCAGCTCTGATCACACTTTGCTTGCACAAGCACGAAGCCGAAAGCACCAGCCTGAAGATGGAGAGTGGGACCTCGTCAAAACATTGCCAAGATGCTCTCAATCTTACATGGGAAAAGACCCGAAAACGCCAAGATATATATATGTATTCATATTACTTCTCACAGTAAAAAGAAGCATGAAGCCAAAGACACAAGCCTGAAGATGACAAATGAGACTTCGTCGAAATGTTGCCAAGATACTTCCAATTTTACACAGGAGAAAACCTGAATAAACAAAGATCCACATACAAATATCCATGAAAACCAAAGAAATATATATATATATATGTTTTCTTAAGTTTTCGTGGGTACTTACATGTATGGTATTCAGCTTTGTTTGGGTATTTTCCCACATCATTATAGTTGTGCTTTTGTATTGTGTTCATCTGTGAGTCAGGCTTTCACAGTCTGACTCACAGCCTGATTGGGTGGGGGTGTGTTCTTCATGGACCATGGACCAGAAGCCACACTGCAGCTGCATCACTACCCACTCCAAACCCTTCCGAGCCATACATGAAGCGAACTGACACCAACCATGAAGATGCGGCATGACCACGAACCCGAAGCCAAATGGCAGGATCAAAGCTCACCAGCTCAAATCCCCCAGCAACTAAGACTAACCTGAGCACAACCAAGCCCCCACCTGAACAGAACACACCTCAAGCCAATCAGAACATGGCCATCCCCCAACCAATCAGAACAGAGCCAAACCCCCAACCAATGAGAATACACCCCCACCCAATCAGAAAACAGCCAAGCCTCCACCCAATCAAGTATATATATGTGTGTGTCTGTGTCTCTGTGTGTGTATGTGTATACACACACACACAAACACACAAACACACAGACACACACAGACACACACACATAGAGACACAGACACACACAGACACAGACAGACAGACACACACACAGACACACAGACACACACACACACACATATATATATATTCTTAAGTTTTCATTTGTACTTACATGTATGGCATTCAGCTTTGTTTGGGTATTTTCCCACGTCATTGTAGTTGTTCTTTTAAAGTTGTATCAACGTTTCGGCAGAATCTCATCTGCCATCATCAGGCTTCTGCATTGTGTTCATCTGTGAGTCAGACTTTTACAGTTGTTTCAGTTTTAAATTTGGGGCTAGACTTCTGCTGTGACAGAATGTTTTTTTCTTCATCCTGATTGGTTGGGAGTCTTGGTCTGTGTTTATTGGTCTTGGAGTTTGCTGTGTTCTGCTTGACTGGTTTTTCTGATATCTTCTGTCTGTTTTGTGGCTTTTTTGTGTCTTGATTGACTAGCAACATTGTGTTCGTGTATTGGAGGCTTTTAGTGCAGCTTGGCTCTTAGTAAATGGATGGCTATCATTTGTTAGGAAGCTAGGTTTCATCTGGGTGCCTGGTTGGGGTGTGTTTGAGCTGGAGGTATCAGGGGGGATCTCTTTGTGCCCAGGTGTTTGCCTGGCTAGTGATGTGGAGATTTTTTTGTTTGTGAGTGTAGGCTTCCAAATGATTGACAGTCCGGTGGAATCATCTCTTCTATTCATGCTTTCAGGTCCTTTTTCAATCTCTTGGGCTTGTCTGATAATTCTGTGGCTGGGGCTTTCTATAGTGGCTAATGTTTTGGTGCCATTGAAGTTGATGCCATGACCTGTGGCTTTCATGTGTTGGACTAGTGAGGAAGTGTGTTCCAGCTTTTTTACTGCATTTTTGTGTTCATCCAGGAGGGTACTTAATCTTCTGTTGGTCTGTCCAATGTATGTGGCTGGGCATGATGCCCAGGGGACTTCGTATATTCCTTGGTTTTCCAGGTCAATTTTATCTTTGGGGTTTCTAAGGATGGCTTCTATATTTTTGTCTGTTTTGAAGGTGGTCTTGATGTGATGCCTGTGTAGTATCTTACTGACTTTGTCTGTAGTACCACTTATGTAGGGTAGAACAGCTGTTCCATAGGTCTGTTCATCTTCCAGGTCTCCATTATATCTCAGTGTGTCTTTATATATATATCTTTGGTTATTCAGGTTTTCTACGAATGTGAAACCAAACAACATGATAACAACTCACCAGCTAAAATCCCCCAGCAACTAAGACTAACCTGAGCACAACCAAGCCCCCACCTGAACAGAACAGACCCCCAGCCAATTTTAACACAGCCAACCCCCCACCCAAACAGAACACAGCTAAGCCCCCACCCAATCAAGTCACACCCCCACTACAGCTAAAAGGAAGAAGCAGATGCAAGCTCACATTACTCTGAGAAGCACAAAGCCAAAGACACAAGCCTGAAGATGATGAATGAGACTTCATTGAAACGTCACCTAGATACTTCCAATCTTACGCAGGAGAAAACCCGAATAACCAAAGATCCATAAACAAATACATGCGAAAACCTCAGAAAACAAACAAACACACAAACACACACACACAATTGTGAACTATTACTGAACCTTTGTTCTTGAGCTTTGAAGACAATGGCAACACTTGTTCTCCCAACTCACAATATTTGCAAGTTAAACAACTGTAGAAGAAAGATTAAAATGTAAAAAGAGGATGTGAGGTAAGAAAACAAGATTTCTTAAAATTCCTCAATGTTTCCACTCTAGTTCCATCCATATTTAAAGCAGAATGAATTGTACAATCTTTCTTTGTTGAAAGTGTATTTGGACCAAAATGGAGACATAGCAGCAGATCTGCGGATCATTAGTAGGCTGTTTCTGCCCAAGAAGGATCCCATCAACAAGGAATTGGGGAGTTTTGAAAGTCAAAGAATTATAATCAACCAAGATGTTTTGTCACAGCTAAAGTTGCTGAACAAGGTGAGGAAAATATTGATACACCCCCCCGCCAAAGACTTACAATCCATTTCAAGTGGGCTAAATCTAGTCAAAAGGGTGGGTAACCTTGACTGGGAATTGAATGTGTGGAGTAAAACATCTATAATTTTCTTAGACAGATAGGGAGTTTTCAGATCTATTGACTAAGAGATGCTATAATGCTGAATACTGTTATAACCTGATTCAGCTATTTCCAAAATGAGATTTGGAGTGATTATTACTTAGGACACAAATCTCTGCCATTTTATATGCAGTTTAATATCTCCATAAACCCGGTGAGAGAGAGGGCATCATATCAGTGGTGGTATGCTACCAGTTTGGATTGGTTTACTCGAACCTGTAGTAAAAAAAATGCTGAGATCAGGATCTCGGATCAGCTGAGAGGAAGAAAACAATCTTCTGAAGATCAGCTGAGAGGATAAAAGACTGAAAAATGCATGGGAGGGTGGGAGGTTCACTTCTTTACCCTCTCAGCTGATTGTTCCAGTGGAGAATGGGCCCCATTCGAATGGGGGTGGATGCTGGAGCCCGGACACTTCATCTTGCCCTGATTGGAGTCAGGGGTCTCCCAAAATTGCAGGCTCATGGTTGGGGAGGACCATCAAGGAGGTCCAAGGCTTTCGATTCACATGATATTAAAATGATTGGTCTGATGTGAGCTTATTTATTCATTGATTGATTATATTTATTTGCTGCCCATCACACCACAATAATGGCCTGAAAACTGAAGTACTGAAACACAACTTTAGTGCAAAAGAAATCCTGATATCAGAAGTAATAAAGAACAATTTCAAGGGAAATGTTACTTAGGTTTTGGCATTAGCTTTCAAGAGCGCCCTTCATCTGAAAATCCCTTTCATCAGAGGTGGTATTCAGCAGGTTCTGATCAGTTCAGGAGAATTGGTAGTGGAAATTTTGAATAGTTCAGAGAACCAGCCAATACCACCTCTGACTGGCCCTGCCCCATCTATTCTCTGCCTCCTGAGTCCCAGCTGATTGGCTGGGTCTTATTTTGTTGTCCTGCACAAGAGAACGGAGCTGGAAAGCAGTGGGGTGGGGAGGGAATGGGATTTTCCAGTAATCTTCCTCAGGAATGGGAAGAGAGGGGAGATTTTACCTTCCCCAGGAGTGGGAAGGGAAGGGAGACTTTTCCTTCCCCTGACATGCCCACCAAGCCACACCACACCTACCAAGCTATGCCATGCCTACCAAGCCATGCCCACAGAACCAGTAGTAAAATTTTTTGAATCCCACCACTGCCTTGCATGCAAATGTTTATTTGGATTGTTAACTATCTTAAGCCACTCTGAGAGTCTCCAAATTTATAATGAATATAGGTGTGCATTTCCCTGTTAGCTTGTGTCACCTAATTGTATCGGGTACCTTGTATTGGATACCTTGTGTTGTATATCACTTTCCCACACAGAGCTCTCACTCCTGACCCCACGTGGTGCATCGGAGGATCCCTGACTCACCCTTTTTGATGGACACATTTTCACCTCCATCTCACCTCATTATAATTTTAGAAATTAGTCAGTCTTACTTTTAATTAACCAGCATGGCAGCCGTATAAATTGATCAAATAAATATACAGATGAGGAATATCATTTTTAAGGTTGACAGCCTTTACTTGTAAAGAACTTTTCCTTGGTATCTTAACTAGGAGATCATTTTGAACTGTTTTCAAAAAGGAGTTTTGCAATCCAGAAGAAACCATTCTACATCTTACCAATCAGACGTTTCTTTTTTAATCATAGTTTTAATTTACTGCATTTTGGGGAGTATAAGACACACTTTTTCAGCCTCCATGTGCTACATTTTCTGCCCATTCTGATTCCTGCTACTTGGAATGGGGCAAAAATGGGGTATGCAGACACAGTAATAGGCTATGTCAATCCCTGCAGCCTGAAACAACTGGGGAGGCTGCTCCGACTGACAATCAGCTACTTATGCTAATCAGGCTGTGCTGAAGCTTTTTCCTGCAAGGAGGCAAATTGCTTGGAGGCAGAGGCAGATATTTTTTCTTGTTTTCCTCCCAAAAAGGTAGGTGGGTCTTATACTTTGGAGCATCTTATACTCCAAAAAATATAGTATTTTAAATAAATTAAAAATAAATACAATTTTAAATAAATGCATTGATGTATAAAAAATACATCAACCAATCATTTAATTAGACAGTTAAACTTGATAAAGTTCACAAATGGAATAGAAATGTAATACATCTTTTACAATAAAGTTTAGTCTAAAATTTAAAATAAGTGGATATCTTAGTTTAAAATCATGCATATATGAAGAATGGAGGAATGCATGTGAATTATGCTATGAGGAGGAACTAAGTGTGACTTGATGTTTAATTTTTTTCTCCTTCATCCCTCCAGACTTTATTAAGTAGAAAGGCCCCAAGAAAAAGGAGGAACTAAATGAGGCATCTGCCTGCAATTGTATTCCTGCAATCATTTGGAAGTTGTCAGGGATTTCATATTTTTCTATCTGAAGCCCAGAGGTTAATGTTTCTGTCTACCTCCATGTTACATAGATGGTGAGATTAACCTCTTTCCTTTGGCATTTTTCTTTTTCTTTCCAGTCTCTGCCTCAGTCCAAATGTGTGGAAAAATGTCAGCCAGGATTTGTCAAGAAAGTTCGAGAAGGAGAACCAGTTTGCTGCTATGATTGTGTTCCTTGTCCAGAAGGGACCATCTCAACTCAGGAAGGTTGGTGACACCATAGGGAAACCTTCTGAATTCATCCAAAGCACTCTGATCAATATACATCTTAAAGAGTCATATACGTTTGATGGTTTTGTTTTTAATTTCCATGGTGTCCAATTTCTTCCCTAATGGGAGGCAAAAGAAAAAGATCTCAAAGGATGAATTAGGAAGAAGGATGTAATGTATTGGGTAGGAAATCTTTTTATATATATATTTTGCCAGTTTGGATGAGTCGTTCCATATTTATCTTTCTTAGAAATATGTGAATTCCTTGTAACTTGAGATATGATTTTAGATCAATGCACTTTGCTCATCCAAATCAACCTTACACTACAGGCCAAAAGATACATCAATCATACATTTAATCAATTACTCTTTATTAAGATCATAAACTCTAATAAGCTGAAATATCTAAATATCTGAAACAATGAAGGGGGAGAAGTTGGGTTCATATAAAAACCAAACAGAGGACTCGTCATAAAACCATCAAGTGCATATTTATTTCCCACCTTTTCTTATCTTTTCAATTTGCATTGTTAAATACTGAGATAAAATCTGTTATAATACCAACCATAAATGAATATGGTTGTGGTTCTGAAAGGAAAAAAAAATACTAACATACAGTCCTGGGATTAAAAGGAACAAAAAGAAGCGGGGGAAAGGAGAAGTAATAAAAGACCAATCTACGAATAGATACCAATGTTGATTTCATTATCTCTTTAAAATTGTTGCCAAATCTACAAAGGATGGAAATATATTGCTTCATCTTCCCATTTTTATTGGATAAAAAGTCTTGGCAGATAACAAAAGCTAACACAATCCTTGGTTTTGTATATACAGAGGCATAGAATCAAAATCACATGAACTATTAGTACCACTTTATAAAAGCTATGATGACCACACTTAGAATGCTTTGGCATGCAAAAAGGTCTGTTCCCTAAAATATTGCCACTTTATGAGTCCTCGGAAGCCTATCTTTTCTGGTGCAGCTCCTACTCCACTCCACCCTGAAATTCAATAGTCCCCATCCACTTAAACTTCTGGAGACTTTCTACTTTTCCCAGGAGTTCCCATGGGACAGTTTCTTGTTGCAGTCTGGAACTGGCATTCCACAGGTAGTTCTCCTCCCCCCCCCAGTCTTTGTGGCAACTGAAAAGCAGCAATAGTTGCAATCAACAAACTTTTGCTTTAAAGTTGACAAAGGAGTTTGTGGCACCAGATATTTCTTCTTTTAATTTTATTTTCTTGTTCTTGTTTTTTCTTGTTTAATTTTATTTAGTTGTTCTTGTTCGTACACATTTGGGGATCTTTTTGCTGGAGTGTAAGAATGTACCATTAATGATGCTTTCCTGTCTCTCAATATCACATCTCATTCAAAGTTTTCTTGAAATTTGAAAGACTATAACAAAATATATTATTTTTCTCAGACACTGAAAAATGCACAAAGTGCCCAGAAGAACAATGTCCAACCAAGAACCGAGTCCAATGTATCCCCAAAAGAATAACCTTCCTGTCCTATGAAGAACCTCTGGGCATCATCCTCGTCTGCTTTGCCCTACTCTTGTTCCTAACCACAGGCTTTGTTTTAGTCATATTTATTAAACATCTAGAAACTCCCATTGTCAAAGCCAACAACCGAGACCTCTCTTACATCCTCCTGATCTCCCTCTTGCTTTGTTTTCTGTCCTCCTTTCTTTTCATTGGCCAGCCAAGGAAAGCCACTTGTTTTCTCCGGCAAACAATGTTCAGCATTGTCTTCTCAGTAGCTGTGTCTTCTGTGTTGGCCAAAACAATCATGGTGGTGCTGGCTTTCCTGGCCTCAAAACCAGGAAACAAGATGAGAAGATGGTTAGGAAAGACCTTGGCCAACACTATCATCCTTTCTTGTTCTGGTGTCCAAATTTTCATTTGTGTCATGTGGCTGGGAATTTCCCCCCCATTCCCTGATTCTGACATGCACTCTCAGCCTGGAAAAATCATCCTTCAATGCAATGAAGGCTCTGTTACCATGTTTTATATTGTCCTCGCCTACATGGGTTTCCTTGCTATCATTTGCTTCGTGGTGGCTTTCTTGGCCAGAAACCTGCCTGGGGCCTTCAATGAAGCCAAACTGATCACTTTCAGCATGCTGGTCTTCTGCAGTGTCTGGATTTCCTTCCTTCCCACCTACCTGAGCACCAAAGGGAAATACATGGTGGCCGTGCAGGTCTTTTCCATCTTGGCCTCTGGTGCTGGACTGCTGGGCTGCATCTTCCTCCTCAAGTGCTACATTATCATCCTTAGACCTGATCTAAACACTAAGGAACATCTCATGATAAAAATAGGGAAGTGACAATGAAATTGTTTCTTAGGTCCATAACGTTTAATTATTGATTGCAAATTGTTATTGGTTTATATGCTTTGTTTGCCTCTGTTTGACAACTTATGTTATTTAAAACTGAAAGAAATAAAAATAGTTAGTTAGATGGTCTGCAGACTGCTTTAAGCTTGATGGGTAACTTCAGAGTTAGTTTGGAGGGTTTCAATCTCATCTTCATAGTTCTTTTAGAATTCAGAATCAAGTCTAGGACCAAAGCAATTATTGAATTCTTTCTGCAGTGCTTTTCAGCATGTCCTAGTGGGACTCCCCGAAATAATATTGAGAGTTGGCCCCCATACAACAAAGAGATGCACCCTGTGGTATGTAAGAATTACATACTAAGGATTACACCTGTGAAAATTAGGAACATAAGTAAAACCATATTTATCCGATTTCTGACCTATGCAATAATTACTGGAATATTACTGGACTGTTATATAACTATAAACATAAGTTGATTATGTTCTGTAGAAATGTCCATTTTTTGGCTAGAACAGGAGCAAGACTTCTTCCTCTGAATGTCGACGGATTTTGAAAGCTGCAGGTGCCCCTGCTGCTTTCAGTGGATTTAGCAGTTTGATGGATCTCTTCCCCTTGGGAAGGAAATTGCTCTTAGTGACCTGTGGACAGAAGACCTGTAAAGGCTGAGTGAACCCAGATACTGGTGCACCAGGATACAGGTGAGCTAGCTCTTATAATTTGTTTTCCACTGTGTTGCAACACTGTTTAAAATTTGTTTTAAGGATTGCTTAAACACTGGGTAAAAAGAGTTTTTTCTTAAGCCTGATAAGTTTATGTTAGCCCTGTGTGTGTGTGTGTGTGTGTGTGTGATAGTTCGGTACTGCTATTGTTCTGCATTATCATTTCCTCTTTTCCCTTTCCTGTGTTAGAAGGGAGAGTGTTATTATTTCTAAATGGGGTCATATTTTACTAAACCAGATGCAGAGATTCCATCCATTCCACCCTCCTCCCCTCTGGGTGAATTGCTTAAATAATGGAGTGAGCCGTGTTTAAGTCTTTATACAAAACATCTGAATAAAGTAACAATAATTGAGCTTTGCACTGGGGTGTGGCCAGTGCTTATCTTAATTCCGCTGAACTATAGGTGGGATAAATCTGGAGAATCTGATTGTTATTGCATAAGAGCTTTGAGAAAAGTTCTTGTTAAAAAGAAGTTAAAAATGCAATTGCCATATGTGGAGCCCTGGATACACGTTCAGTGGGTGGACCCTTTTTCTTCTACAAGTAAGAGAATTTTATAGGAAGCAGAGGAGGAGGGAAAGTGGGACCCACTGGAATATGCCAGCTGTCCAAGACCCCCTCCATATAAGATACAGAATGTAGCTGCTGTGGCAATAGCTGTAGATGCAGACGGAGTTGAGAAAAGTGATTTTCTGGCAGTAAAACAATATAGAGAATTAAAAAGGGAGTTGGTGTCAGGCCTGGAGCCTGCCACACTGATGAAACGATAGAGGAGGAGATGCCTACCGCTTTGCTCACATCCCACATCTCCTCTGGCATGTCACGTTTCAGTCAGCTGTTGAGCGGAGCTTCAATCAGTTGCTGGGCGGCAATTCCAGAAGTACAGGGCGGCACTGTTTAACAGAGGCTTTGCAACTATGAGGCTTCATTCACCCATTGGAGTGGGGATTTGGACAGACAGGACTGCCGTGCTAGCTGAGGGGGAGACTACTGAACTGCCATGGGGTCTGTGTGGGAGGCTGGACTGAGGGTAGGAGATTCTGAGGGTTGGTGATTCATGTTATTACTGCTGGAATAGATGGGCTTTGCTAGAAAATGTATTCAAGCAATAGAAGCTATATACCATAAGCAAATGGCAAAGCTAATGATAGAGGGAGAACTGACAGACTCTTTCAATATAAGAAAAGGAACAAGACAAGGGTGCCCACTATCACCTTTGTGGTTTGTGTTAACTTTGGAAGTGCTAAATAGAAATATTAGAGATGAAAAGGTTATAAAAGGGATGAAAATCAAAAAGGAAGAATTTAAGCTGCAAGCATTTGCAGATGATCTGGTTTTCATCTTAGAAGACCCTCTAGAAGCAGCACAAAAATTGATAGAAAAGATAGAGACATTTGGAAAGGTGGTTGGTTCGAAAATGAATAAAGATAAGACAAAGATCTTGACAAAGAATATGTTATCAAGACAAAAGGAAGAACTGGCAAACCTATTGAAAATTCAGGTCACGAATAAGATCAAGTACTTGGGGATATACTTGACAGCAAGATGTAGTACACTAAAAGAGAATAATTATATCAAACTTAAACAGCAGATAGCGCTAGATCTGGCAAAATGGGAAAATTTACAACTGTCACTAATATCAACAATCAAGATGAATATATTACCCAGAATTTTATATCTGTTTCAAACAATTCCAATTAGGCTTGGAAAAGATTACTTTGAAGATCTAAATAAACTTGTGTTGAAATATATATGGCAAGGTAAGAAAGCAAGAATAAAATTAAAACTTTTGCAAGATGCTAGAATAAGAGGAGGATTTGGTTTGCCTAATTGGGAGTTGTATTATCAAGCTACAAATCTGATGTGGGTTAAGGAATGGATAACACTAAGAAATAGTAGATTGTTGGCATTAGAAGGACATGATTTGTTATTGGGGTGGCATGCTTTTTTATGGTATAAAGGAACTAAAACACAGGGGTATTTTAGAAGATATTATATTCGGGAGTCTCTGTGGTTAAACTGGGAGAAGATTAAAAGACAATGTTATTTGAAAATTCCAGTCTGGCTATCAACTATTGAAGCATTTTCTTATCCTACAATATACAAAAAGGAACAAACAGTTAGATATGGTGAAATATTGAATGAAAAGGGTGAACTCAAATCTATACAAAAACTAGAGGAACAAGGTATAAAGATGAATTGGTTTTCATATGCGCAAATACATTCAAGGTATGATAAAGATTCTAAAAGGTTTCTATGAAAGATTGACTGATTTAGATAAGATTTTGACAGGTCCTGATGAAAACGTGATTAAAACATTGTATGGATATTTATTAGAAATTAAATTAGAAGAAGAACAAGTTAAAGAAACTATGATTGCTTGGGGGAAGAATTTTGGATATGGGATTGATCTAGAGAAATGGCAAAAATTGTGGTCTCAAAATTATAAAATGCCAATATCAACAGCATATAAAAAAAAATTGTATAAGATGTTTTACAGGTGGCATTTCCCCCCGACAAGAATAGCAAGAATGTTCAAGAATAAATCCGAAAAATGTTGGAAATGTTATCAGACACCTGGCTGATATTACCATATGTGGTGGACTTGTGCTGACGCTAAAAAATACTGGACTAAAATCCACATGTGGTTGGAAAAAATGACAAAAAGACATATAGACTTGAAACCAGAGATATTTTTATTGGGAATTTTACCTGAAATATATTGTAAAGACTTGAAATATCTGATTGTAAATGTTTTAACAGTGGCTAGAATTGTATTTGCTAAGAATTGGAAAAATGAAAAAATACCTATGCAGGAGGAAATTATTAAGAAAATTATGGACTGTGCCGAAATGAGTAAATTGACATTTGAAATTAGAGAACAAGAAGATAAACAATTTTATATGATATGGGATTTATTTTATCAATGGTTAGATAAAAAGACATGGTAAAAAAATAGATTAGTAAACCTTACAATAAAAGTTAATGGACCAATATAGAAAACAATATAAAATATATAACTATTGGATGAATGTATAAGATTAAACCATAATGAAATTTAGAATATATCATATAAAATGATGGAAAAATAGTTTAGTCAAATGAATGTTTAATCATTGATATTACATAAGCACAAGCTAGATTGATAAGGTGATAATTTATATAACTTGTTAGTAATGGTAAAAAAAAAAGGATAGCACAAAAGATTGTAACCAACTGACACACTGTATGTATATAATTGAAAGAGGGTTTTATGTGTTTATGGTTTGTTTGTATATTTGTTGTAAAAATTTAAAACTTTTTTCTTAAAAAAGAGTTAGGGATGAGGCAAATAGTGGAAAAAGGAAATTAGTCAAAATACTAACACAAATATTTTTTTATCTAAGATGTACTCTGCTTAAAAAACTAGGCTTTATAATCAATTTTCAAAGAATTGTTGCAGAGACAAAGACTTACCAAAAAAGTCCTTCATGGGGTCAAGTCCTTCATGGGGTCAAGTATCGAGTCTGGGTTGTATTGGGCAATAGGAGTTGTGTTGAATTTGTGAATTTGTGTTGAGATCATGGATTATTTTTAGGGAAGGTGGGTGTTTGAGCACAAGACAGGAGCAGATGGGTAGAAGAGGGGAAATGTCTAGAAGACACCTGTAAAGTGGCACATCCATATCTTCATTATAGAATAGAGGGAAAAGCAGAGAAAGGGTTGCTTATAAGTGCAGACGGTACAGAACATAGTGCTGGAAAAGAATCTCTGATTCACCTGATTCACACAGAGCGGAATGGCGGAATATCCTGCTCTGAGAGGTCCAGGGATTTTGGCATTGATATCAGAAGGAAGACAAGAAGGAAAAGCATGGAGAGGTTTGTAAGAATGTGGAAAGACAGGAGGATGGCCTGGGTAATCATCAGAGAATCAGATAGATAGATAGATGAGACACACAGAGATGAAAACATGATTATTTTAATTATCTTGGTATCCTGTGGTATTTAGCTAGGGAATGCTTTATGTTGCATCAAGGGCTTTTCTCTAATATTTTTTGTTTAGTTTGTAATGCTTCTGCCCAAGCAATTACATCAACTGAAAAACATCAACGTTTGGCAATTTAATTACTTCTGTAAATAAACTGATAGAGAGAAAAAGGAAACTGTGTGACTCTGTGGCATAATGTGTGGTTAAAGCAAAGGAATGCCTTCCATAATCAAATTCAAACAAAAAGATATACAGAATCAGAATAATGTTGGCACAGTGGTTAGAGTGCAGTATTTCAGGTT